GTTTCGAGCAGACTGTTGCATACTGAAGTTGAAGTCCGTGCGCGTAGTATGGACAGTACCACACAACAACAGGTTGTTACGGTGGTTAGATAGGGTTATATCAAGTTTTCGTGGGGTGTTATAGGACTATGTAGGGATTCCTATCATGGACAACTATGGAAACGAAAACGCCAAGGAAATGAACAAAACGAGTTATACCGGGAATTGTCGCGTTATGGTTAAAGATTCCTTGTTATGGTTCAGGGCACCTCAAAAACAAACCTCAATATGACGGCAGTCGTCTAGACCCCTATGGCATTCTGCGAAGCTTGAGCTGTGTGCTCGAGTGCTAGGAGAAATTGATGTCTTTTATTGGGACACCTAAAGCCTAGTACAATAGCTTTGGATTAGCAACACCATGCTTCCCGATTCCTTCTAAGTCCAGCATGGGGGATCTCAGATAGATCTTCACATGACTGGAAACCCTAGACTGTAGTAGTACCTATATGATATCCAGTAAGATAGTCATTTCCATTTGGTTTTGCATCTCTTTCTGCCCAGCAGCTGGCTCGGCTAGAGGTATAGGAGTACAGACATAACTATCGAGGATAGCCCTGTAAGCCCTAAGCGTCCAAAGGCCCAGAAGCCTGAAGATCACCTATCTGAGTAGTCTAAACTCCTTAAAGGGGAGTTTACATAGGGGATTATATAGGGGACTGCTATGGGGGTTATGAAGGGGGATACTGGGAGTTTTGACTATAGCTTATCTTCCAATTCTGACCTGGGCAAGTTAAAGAAACCGCACCCGGAATGAGCATTTTATGCCCGCAGAGCCAATCTGGTAATTCCCGTAATCTGGGTGACCATGATATATACATGGATCCTAGAAGGTTATCATCTTCTCTGGGGACCCCTGATTTTCAGAGACAACCATATCATGATCAGAGCAGGGTATCCCCGCATGAATTACCCCTCAACAGTTGAATAAGAACACACTGAAGCCTAGTACTTGTACAGATAAACCCTACAAGCCTAATATCCTAACCCTTTAACCTGCACCCTTAACGTAAGCTGTAAAACCTTGACCTAAATTTACTTCGGGGTAGTAGGACATAAAGGTATATAATCCTGATATAGTCCTCCCATACTATATTCCCTTACTCCTACTAGTAACCCCCGGCAAGTAAACCCAACACTGAATCCCACACCCCTAAACTACCGACCCAAAAGCCTCCTAAGTATTTCCTTTTTGGGGCAGGGTAGTACGATTGAGGGTCTAGGGTTTAGGGCCTAGAGTTTCCTTCACAAAAAAGCATAACAAACCCAACAGAGAATTATATAGTGTTTGGTGTAGCTAGTAGGATCCTTACAATCGCATGCCCTTGAAACCGTTAAGGGCACCACTTGGCGTTCAAAGTTGAGGGCTTAGCATTGAGAAGGGGCCATAAACCCTAAACACCCTAAACCCTAAACCCCTTGATGGAAACGGTCTTGCACTAAGGGTGCCTGAGCTACTGCCTCGGGTTAAAGGTTTGGGGTTTAGGGCGTAGGGTTCTGGTGATTCGGGAAACGCAAAACTGAAAGCGCCCCCCGCCCCCACATCTAAACCCCAATACCCCTGGATAGTGTAGAAGCCGAAACTATTGTTATGTCTAGGTGCAGGCAAGTATCACAAGACACTACTTGCACTGAATAGGCCTCTACACAAAATCGAAAAAATCCCAAACTATGTGATTCTTCAAAACCCTCCCACAACCCTAAATCACCCAAAGCAGTCCCACATCTTCCTATAGATCCCATAACATCCCTGCATAACCGCTTGTAAAGGGGCCCTAAACCCCAAATCGTGTGAACATGGGCCCCGGCAGTAATCGAATGAGGAGTCAAGTCTCCGGCGCCGCACTCTCCTGTGATCCTGGTCTTGGCAAAAAAGTGTTAGTTTTACTTACCTGGGTTTAGTTGCGGATAGGCGAATAAATTATATGGGGCGTATATTCCCTTTATTCCCTACTTACCCTCAATAAGTTAAGTGTTTCTAGGGTTTAGTGTGTAGGTTAGGGAAGCTTTTTTGAGGATTTAGCGGATTCGGGGAAGGTTGTTTGAGTGTTTCGAGGATTAAGGATTGTAAGGTGCACTTTTTGGGGAGTGGGCTTCCTGGATGCACTGCCAAGTTCAAAGAGGATTTCTTGAGCGTTACATGAGAAAGGTTATCACTTGTTACGCAAAAATATGACCCCTCCCGAACCAGTCTCCAAGGGACCAGCGTAGAGGGGTAGGTCTCTTTTTGGGCTTCCGTGTGTGTTTAGGGTGGGGAAGACACGTCTCAACCCCGCCTCAGGATTTAGCTTCCGCATTTGATACTTCAGGCGCGAGGTCTAGCTTTCAAGAGGCTTTAGGAGGTTAATGATGGGAGGAGGTTGGTAATCCCAACCCCCCAAAATTAGGGCACTATCATATAAGTATAACAAGGTCCTAACTTAAGGGTTGGGGTAACCAAAATCCCCTTGAAGGATTTACAGTTCAGGCTTGGAATGACATGGAAGTTTTTGAGGTTGAGGGCTTCGGGGCAGCAGGAGCCTGGTCATTCTGAAGCCCGGATGCAAAACAGAGCACCACCCCATCCCTACTGGTGCTTAACGGGGGAGTAATAAGAATTAAGACGGTTTAGGGTTTAGGGAATTTTAGGGATCCATCCATTCCCCCATTCTCCCTGAAGCACCGGTAAGCATACTTCAGGATCCCGCTAGCTGTGAGATTCCAAGCCTTTGGCCCTGGTTTTTGGGCCCAACTTGTTCAGTGCAATCTTCTGGGCAACCCAAACCCTAAACCCTAAACCCTAAACCCTAAAGTATGAGAGTCGTGGAGTGTGTTTCTGGGCGTCTTGTTCCGTCCTGGCCTCCTATGGATGACTATATCTTGTATGCCGTGCGACTTTCCTTGGACACATCTGTAGAAAACAAAAACATGCCTTATCCCTAGGGCTCCAGTTACCTAAATAATGGGAACTGGGTTCTATATACCCTATAGTTACATAGCCCAGTAGCCTACTATTTAAGTAGCTGGGAGCCCTAGGTATGGCTGCGAGGACTTCAGGAATAGGCCTTTGAAAAGCCTAAGCCCTTGAACGTACAAATCGCTCAACCCCAAGCTCTTAGGGCCCTGAAACCTTAAACCTTGAACCCTAACCTCTAAACATTAAGGCCTAAACCCCTAAACCCCTACACCCCTGAACCCCTAAACCTTAAACCCTAAACTCTAAACATTAAGACCTAAACCCCTAAACCCCTAAACCGAAACCCTTAAAAACCCTAGACTCTAAACTCTAAACATTAAGGCCTAAACCCCTAAACCCCTCAACCGAAACCCCTAAAAACCCTAGACTCTAATCTCTAAACATTAAGGCCTAAACCCCTAAACCGAAACCCCTAAAAACCCTAGACTCTAATCTCTAAACCCTGGGAGCCAACCCAGGATCCCTGTGAAGTGGGCAGTTCTCAGCCTATGGAAGGCCCTGAGGGGCCTCAAAGGGAAGAAAAGATGGAATAGACCAAAATGAGCCATAGTCTAAACTCCTTAAAGGGGGTTATATGGGGGATCATATAGGGGACTACTCTAGGGTATATTAACGGGGATACAAGTTGTTTAGACTATGGCTTAACTATCTTTAGGGCTTTGGGTTTAGGGAAACCCTAAAACCTCTTTGGGTTTAGGGATCCAGGGTTCGGGGTTTAGGGGCATCACAGAGGAACCAATGGTCCCCAAGGCCCTGAATCGCAAACCTTAAACCACAGCAGAAGGTTGTTTCCAGCTGGAGGCATCTAGTATAGTCGCCCTTAAGTGGGTAGAGTATGGAATTGCCCAACATCAAAATCAGAGCCCCATGTACCCCATCTTAACCTACTCAAGGAGGACTATAGCTGGGAACTTGCATTGTGACTTCATGCGCTCCTTGCGCGTCTCGAGCATTGCAAGCTCCCAGCAACATGCGAGTCTAAGCCGTGAACTAAACCCACGAGCCTTCTCCTCAACTCTATACATATAGTTCCACTTAGGTAGATAGAATATGAGGTATATGGGGATCGTATTATAATATGCCCAAAGCCATATTCTATCTACTAAAGGGGAACTGTATACATATGTGTAAATATACATTTATGATGATGTTTGGTAGTTGCTCTAGACTCTAGGTCAGGTTTCCGTTGTAGCGGGAGATTTAGTGGATCTCAGTAGGAGATCTTGGGACTACATTAGGCGACATAAGGTTAAGGGACCGCCCGGGGGATGTTTGCGCACTTTGCGCAGCCGGAAGCCGCGCGCACGCACGACGTTAAGTGGTCCGGTGCCGTACAACGAACGGATTTTTAAGCGTACATTGATCGTCTGCAGCTTGTGTTGTGCTCCGCAAATGGCAATTTCCCAACAGGGGCACCCAACATAGACGCCCAAATAATTCCAACCCCTACTATAGGGACCCCCTCAAAAAAGTACCTCTACTTGCCGGAAACCCCATACATTTCAGAAACACGCAGTGATGGCTGGCTGGGCACTGCAGCCATTTTGCATGCTTGCGTTGAACGGCCGCAGGAGCGCCCAAATAGAACAGACCTTCTCAGACACCTCTGGTTTCTCTAATGATTCCTTTTTATGGCCATCTTGGGCGGTATGTCCTATGATGGGATCCCTTGAGCCCTAAGCCTTGAAACAGCGCAACAAAAACCGAAGTGGAAGGCAGCATCAGCTGCGAGAGGCCTGGCGGGTGGGAAAATGACCTTAACGCGTTAGGGCTCCACATAGCCCAAAGGTGTTGAGGAAGTAGGGTTTAGGGTTTGCAGCTTGGTGAGGGGGTTTAGGGTCTTGGTGAGCGTAGTTCCTGGTTACAACATCTCTTAGCAAGTCATGGGTTGCTGTTAAGGAACTTAAATTAAGTTACTATATTGCGGAAACCCTATTATTTACTATATATACCCATTATGGTAACTTAATTTAAGTTCCTTAACAGCAACCCAGGCGTTTGCCCAGGTATGAGCGACCTGACGCTGTCGAAAGAGTTGCTTGGAGAGTGCTTTCTGACAAAGTGGAACTTGGATTATTGCGAGCAAGTCTGTGATCAGAGCAAATTTCTATGTCCGCAACATCCGGAGTATGAAAAGCATCCTACAATGTAACTGGATCAAAGTTGAAAATGGTTCAGCTCTTCTTATGTTAACACCCAAAAAAGCAACAAGGGAAACCCATTGCAGCTTTTTATAGCATTTCAATGGAATGGGGGTGGTTTTCCAACGTAGGGGACCCCAAATCCTCATTATGGGCCCCACCAGGAAGTAAACCCTAAACTCTAAAACCCCACGCGGAATCAGGCAAAACTATGCTGCCCAGCGAGGCAAGTTGATGGGTATGTTCCGTGACCCTGATCAGCGAATTCTCTCAGGGTACCACGATGACCAGAACAATCTGGCAGCTCGCGATTATGAGGAATATCTACATGAAGACCCGCGGGTCCAGAAATGCACCTACATTGGGAAGGATGTGCCCAAGGTTCCAGTTCTAGACTTTGCAGAATCTTGGAAAGGTGGCATGGCATACCAGATTCTGGGTTGCTGTTAATGAAGTTAAGCTAGGTCACCAGAATATGGGTATACAGTAAATGATAGGGTATCCTTATTATAGCAACTTTAATTCGGTTCCTTAGCAGCAACCCAGGATTATGACTGAGCACCCGGACACGCAAACATTGGACCCAAACCGTTCAAAGATCACCCTGGAAGTCGCACAAGAGGCTGCTAAGCGTGTGCGTGAAGGCTTTGCATTCGTGGGTATCACAGAAGAGTGGGACCTTTCCGCTTGCCTGTTCCATGAGATGTTCGGTGGTGATTGCCATGCTTGGGACTTTGTAGCTGGGTTGCTGATGAGGAACTTAAAAGCAAGTTGCTGTTGATTATGAGGAACACATTTTTTGCTGTGCATACATATTATGGTAACTTATTTCAAGTCAGCTCAGAAAAATACGCGCCCAAGCTCAACTCGAAAGTCAGCCAATTCGGCCCATGATGAGTCGGAGCTAATGGGCTGGCACGATGACTTGGACGAGGTGGTGTATGCAGCTGCGGTGGAGGTTTCTGGGTTGCTGTTAAAGAATCTTAAGCCAAGTTGCCGTGTTAATGATAAATAGTAAGAAGTAGGGTTGCCTTTTGAAGCTAGCTAAGTTTGAGTTCCTGCCCGGCACACCAGGTTTTCAAGGCCAATTTGGATGCGTTCAATGTTTCCCATCAGACATGCCAAGACTGCTACCGCGCAGCAGGAAGGACAAGCAATTAGCTGAGTGTCTGTTTCACAACACCTGGAGTAGAGTAGTACGTGCTGACTCAGCACATTCTACTTTGAACTCTAGCCCGCAGATAGCGTTTATGACCCTCACGCAGAGTGCGTTGAAAACCGTGCTGGTTTGGTACTAGGTACCCCCCAGTTTTTTGTATTTTTGGGCATGCAAGATTTCTTCCATCCTAAATCCTGAACCTTAGAGCCTAACCCAAGGCCCTAGACGCTAAAGCCTAAAACCCTAAACCCTAGTAGGTCAGGTGATGAATCCCTTTGCCGCATGGGCCGCTATCTGTGCGGTATCCTGAAGTGTGCTTTGCTTTTGTTGCCCTGCATGGACAAACTTAAGGTTGTATTATATAAGGGGTATACAGGCTATATGTGGACATGATATATGGGGTTTTGGGTTTAGCGGTGTCCCGAAATTAGGAATACCTTTTTTGGGGGTCTCCATGAATAAGGGTTGTAGTATATAGGAGCCCCCTATTTAGGGGAATTACGATTTCTGGGGCACCGATGCACCGAATTTTGGTCTTGATTGTGGGCTAGCCGTGGCCAGCCAGGTGAATTCAGCGACATCCTCGACTCCAGCACGTGTTGCATTGTCGGAAACCATCTGAGCGTGCCTAGATCTACAGCTTGCAACTGGCGGATCAAAATGGAATGCTTGTCTCCACGAAGCGTTTGCAGTCGGGGCGGGCAGGCAGGACATACAAAGCCTTGCTATAATCTAGAATATATATATGAGTCGCGGTCAAAATTACCGTTTACTTCGTTTAGTCTAGGCGGATATTGCTCAAAAATCCCCAAGATCGATAGGGGACGCCCTAATTCAGAAACCAAGAGAGAACAAACAAGTAATTTTGACGCCGCCTCATATTGTATGTGATATTACGTGTTGTACTATGTCGTACATTATATTTTATGTGATGTTGTATTGTGTATTGTATTATATGATATGTTTCATCGTGTATTATATATTATATTTGTATAAGGTGCCTGTAGTCCGGAAGAGAGGGACGATCTTCAAAGTAATCCCTAGGGAGGGCTCCGTGATCCAAATGGTTTTAATGTTTAGGTTTTGAGGTTTAGGGGTTTGGGTTTAGGGTTTGGGGTTTAGGGCTCATACGGGCACCCTTGTGTTGAGAAGCCCCCCACATGCGCGTGCACAGATGGGGCAGTTGTGCGACGCTGCCCTGTCCAGGTCACAGCCGCACTAGATTTTAATCCGATTCCAGCTACCCTGTAATACTGATACTCAGGGGCTTAGGGTTTAGGGTAATACTGATACTCAGAATCATGACTACTCTCGTGAAATGCAATGATTTTCCGGTAAGTGGGTTTCTGTCCATGTAGCAATGCATATAAATGGTTCATGGTGGTGGAACTGGATTGTTCGGTTTAATCTAATGTGGAAGCAAGCATGCAGCGCACAGCGGCGTCCATTGTCAATCCGCCATTCTGCCATGTGCCGACTGGTGACTGCATGCCTGCTGGTTGCTTGCCTGCGGCAAGCTGTCGTGCCATAGATTTGGGTTATATAGGGAATATGGCTTGGGTATATTATAATAAGATTCCCATATACCCCATAAGGGGTACTCCCATGATGGGTAACCATATCCAGCAGCCCAGTAGCCCATCACTGAGGCTTCCGCATGCTGTTCTCTTGAGGCCGACAATGGTGGGTGTCCCAGGAAGTGCGGAGCAAACTTTTTGCTCAGAGCTTGGAAGACTGAGGTGAGCCCTGCCAGGCCGGTTTTGTGAGACAGTTTCGCCTTATCTGTTTCCCCAGCGATTTTTCAGGCATGTGTTTTGACTTTTGCATCAGGACTGCAAGGTGGATGTGGGGCTGTTGCAGCACAAGCTGTCGCTACAGAAGCGCAGGCCCTCAGACACCGCTCTTGGTCGTGCGTCATAGTGCCAGATGACCAGCGCAGGCCCCACGTGCTCTTATTCGTCGCAGATGATGTTGGTTGGGCGGGCATAGGTGCCCACCGAAAAGGTCGAAACCCGGCGGAGGTACAGGGAAAGGCGGAGACACAGACTCCCAACTTAGACGCTCTGATCCAAGAGGGCGTTCTGCTGGAGAGGCACTACGCATCCTCAAAATCTGGGCCATCCAGGTGTTCTTTGCTAAGTGGTCGTCTGCCTAGTCGCTTCCCGCCTCTACCCGACGGCCTTTCGACGACCCAGTTGTTCTGGAATCCGCAAGACAATGTCTCCGGCTTCTACGGCATTCCGCGCAACATGACGGGCATCGGCAGCAAGTTGAAGCAAGCCGGCTATGCGACGCATTACCTAGGCCGGATTGACAAATGAACGCCATCTAAATCTGTGTTTTGGAGTCCAGAGTGCAGTCCTGTCATCCAAAAATCAGTTGCCATCCTTCAGGCAAGTGGGATGCCGGCATGGCCACACCGGAACACACGCCACTCGGTAGAGGCTTTGATTCCTTCCTGGGCCATTTGCAATCGGTCGCAGACTACTGGTCAAGAGACCATGCACAGGAGAAGTGGCTGTTGGATGTCTGTTTCAACAAGTTTCAGGATTTCTCCCTGTACAATGCAACCTACCGCGGCGGCGTGGGGCCGACCATGGCTGCCGAACTGGGCTGCAATGTTCCGGTGAGGAACAAGTCCTACACCATGGTAGGCTGCGACAAAGATGCCCCTGTGCCAATGTTTCAATGAAGTTTTGCACGTCCTTTCAAGTATTCCAGACAACCCTTGCAGCGAGCATCTGCTAGTTTTAGGGTTTAGGGTTCAGGGTGTAAGGTAGGAGAATAATAGCACCAGAAGGAGCAGCAGTAGTGGTGGACGTGATAGTGGATTGCGTAGGAGGGGTGAGCTGCGGGATGCGCAGCAGAAGGAGGTGGTTGGAGCACTTGGCATATTTTGCCGTGGTGTTTCGTGCATTTTTTCACGGTTTTAGGGTTTTAGTGCATACGTTTACCAGAGCATCCGTGCCCAAACCATAACAATATCCATGTTCCAGAGCATACAGTTACCAGACCATCCATGCCCAAACCATAATAACATCCATGTTCGAGAGCATAGGTTTACCAGAGCATCCATGCCCAAACCATAATAACATCCATGTTCGAGAGCGTACATTTACCAGAGCATCCATGCCCAAACCATAATAACATCCATGTTCCAGAGCGTACGTTTACCAGAGCATCCATGCCCAAACCATAATAACATCCATGTTCGAGAGCATAGGTTTACCAGAGCATCCATGCCCAAACCATAATAACGTCCTTATTATGGGAACCCCCCACCAAGGCTAATTTGGGCCCTAAATCCTAAACCCTGTATAACTGTATAACTTTACATAACCCCTATAAAGCCCCTTTCTCCTCTTTAATAGCACCTCTAATTTTGGGAAACTTGCAGGAGGAGGCAAGGAGGAGAACGAGGAGGAGGAGGAGGAGGAGGAGGAGTAGAAGGACGAGCAGGAGAGGAAGAGATGATGACGCAGGGTATGAGGAGGAGCAGAGATACCGCTGGGTTTAGGGAACAGAGTGTTGCTCACAGCAGGGAAGGTCAGGTTGCATGCAGCATAAATGCCCGAGGTCCTGCATCACAGGCTTTGTTTAGACACTCTGGCGACACTTCAAGTAAGTAAGGAAGTAGGTAGGTAGGTAGGTAAGTAAGTAAGTAAGCAAACTAGTCAGTTATATCGGCGTGTATATGCAGGCCATTCTGGGACTTACAACTGAGTCTACAGCCTAAATACTAAGTTTTCTGAGCCTACTAGCATTGATCCCAAAGCCGAGACGTTAGATCCAACTAGCAACCCTACCACGAATGCATCAAACACTCAAAGCTTAATGTTGGGTCAATCCCCCACCCAGTAATGGGTACTGCGGAACTATTGTAGGTATATAAGGCCTTATTAACTCCATGTTCAAGGGCTATTACTATAGGGGGCATCGACCTAAGCTTAATGATTGCTCATTTCAGCTGTGGAAGCTTCTCAGTTATTCGAGATGCTTTGAACGCGGAATTCCAGAAAAACTACCTGGTGCAGTTTTTTCGAACAAGTGAGGATGATGATGGGTAGGGTTTATAGGCCCCCTTAAGTGGATAGAATATGGGGTGTATGGGGATCATATTATAATATGCCCCAAAGCCATATTCTATCTATTTAAGGGGGACTATGGGTTTCAGGGTGTAGGGGTTCGGGGTTTAGGGTGTGCTTACAAAGCAACACTGGATTTTGCCTGGATCATCCTTGGACGCCGCATCCTGACGTCCTCATCCCTACACCCTGAACCCTAAATCCTGAATCCTAAATCCTAAACCCTAAATCCTAAATCCTAAACCCTGAACCCTAAAGCCTGAACACTAAATCCTGAGTCCTGAAGCCTAAATCCTAAACCCTAGAGGATTCGTTCTCTCTGGAACTGAGGATCCGGATGAGTGTTTGCCTGAGAGCTGCTACGAAGCCTACTGGAAACTGCAGTCATGCTTGGGGTGTTTGGGGATGGGACAAGCTACTACATTACTTCGGGTTTAGGAGTTAGGGCTTAGGATTTAGTTGGGGATGGGGCCCTGTAATCAACAGAATCATTTTTATAGTACGTCTAAACCAATCGTAAATCCCAAATCCTACACCCGAACCTCAACTCCCAGATCCTACACCCGAACCTCAACTCTTCTAAGCCCTTAATTCTAAACCCGAAACCCTAAGCCCCAAATAATAGTTTCCTTTTCTGTAATCCCCTAAAACCCTGATGCATAATATCCCAAACCCTAAAATCTTAACAAGGAAGAGGCCATGCTTCTGGAGTATGCATTGAAGCTCATCGAGGATCATGATCCCTCTACGCCCTTGTTTCTCACGTTCGCTTCGCAGCTTGTGCACACTCCCCTAGAGACGAGAAAGTCTGCTCTAGAAATGGAAGACCGAGTTCAGGAAGCCTTTGCAAAGACAGGGGTAGACCGGAAGTTTGCATGGACCTCGCGCCGCAAGCGGATATCGGCAGACCTGCGTTACTGTGACTTTATCGTGGGGAGGCTTGTTGAAGCTTTGAAGAGTCGGCATATTTATGACGACACGCTTATCGTCTTCATTTCCGACAATGGCGGGGCTGTCCATTTGAGAGCTGCAGGGAATAACTACCCGCTTAGGGGTGGAAAGTTTGCAGAGTGGGAGGGAGGAATCCGCACAAACGCGTTTATCTCTGGCGGCTTCGTCCCACCAAGGATTCGTGGCAGCAGCTTTGATGGTGTGATCCATATTTCAGATTGGTATGCCACTTTGTCCAGCCTCGCAGGGGTCAGCCACTTTGACGAGGCTGCGGCCAAGGCCAACGAAGAGCTAAGTCTCAAGGGTTTGCCGCTCCTGGGTCCTGTGGATGGCCGGCCACAGATGCAGAACATACTTTCGGGCAGCAATGGCCGCCCTGACACGCTGCATCTAAGCAAGGAGACACTGCTCAAGTGGCCCTACAAGCTGATTACGGGCAAGCAGGAGTACAGCCTCTGGACTGGGCCTGTATTTCCGAACTGCAGCAGTAAACGTCCCAGTTTCGCTTATGTAGATGTTCTCGGACACAAGCTCCGAATCGACCATAACGAGACCCGGTACTGGCATGATGCAATGGTCGTAGACTGTGGCAGAGGCTGTCTCTTCAACGTTGACGTTGATCCCGGTGAGCACAGCGACCTAGCCTCCCACGCAGAGTATGCGGCTCTGCTGGCAAGCTTGCAGGAAGAGCTCCAGGTACTGAACTCGGAGGCTTCAAAAGCAGACCAGGGTGCGCCCACAATTCGGGCCTGCTTGCAGGGGATGTGGAACGGCGGCTTCATAGGTCCGTTTGTTGATGTCGAGGGTTTCTACACCAGCGTGCATGTCCCAGATTCGCAAGAACTGGAGCATTTCAAACAGGAGCCGTTTTAGCGTTGTGAGCAACCGTAGGACTTGTGGGCATTCTGCATGCAAATATCTAGCTTCCGCTCTCAAGCAGGACCTTTGGCAGCTGCACAAGAACATGACCGATCGGGCCTTTCTCGAACAGTCTGCTCAAGTCGTGGCATCCCACCTGGACTCCGAAAGCGGAGTGGACGACTGCCTGAGCACGCAAGACTAAAAAATTCACCATACGAGCATAAGCATGCTCATAACTCTACTCCATTTTCAAAGTGGCACATACCCATTCCTGCCCGAAGCGTAAGCTCAGCTCCGCTTGCCGTTGGTCAGGTTTCACTGTCGGGGGAGGGTGGGAACCCCTTAGCCGATGGCAACGATGCAAGCAAGCAAACCCTGAACCCTGAACCCAAGACATCGATGCAAGCACACAAGCAAACCATGAACCATGAGACCTAAACGGTATTATGACTAAATTCATTATCCTCCTGATGGTCATAACGATGACATAACGGCCATACTGGGAGAGAGCTACGTGGAGTCTGCTCCTAAACATGAGAAATCACTTAACCCTAGACCCTTCGACCTTCAACCCTAAACCAATGCACCTTTTGGCAAATACCTTGTTTGGGCTAGCAGCTGTGCCGTAAGAGCAGCAGGCTTGTGCCCAAAAGTCTCCCACTTGTTTGTCGCGCTGCTTCGGTTTAGAGTTTAGGGTCTAGGATTTAGGGTTAAGGAGGGGTTTACTGGGTTGCTGTTAAGGAACTTAATTTAAGTTACTATATTGGAGAAACCCTATTATTAACTATATATACCCATTATGGTAACTTAATTTAAGTCACTTAACAGCAACCCAGTTTAGGGCTTAATTGTTGTTGAACTTGTCGATCAACCTGGCGGTTAGTTGCAGGATAAATCTAGCGGACGCACAGGATGTGCATGCATGATCTATGAATTTGATTATTGTTAGTGGGGATTGGATGAAGGGATTCATATGAGCTATAGTCTAAACTCCTTGAAGGGGGCTAGGGATACTAGGAGTGTAAACTATAGCTCATATAGCAGCTATGAGCCCGTGTGCAATCCAAAATTCAGTAGTTTGCAGCTTCTTTTTCCTGACTTCATTCCCTGGAACCACCAGGCTGAAAGTATCCGTTGGAATCATGCCACGTGACGCGGTTTAGGGTGTAAGGTTTAGGGTTGATTTGGCCAGGAAACTTGGTAGTTACCCAGAATAAGGGGACCCCAATATAGACCCCACTATACTACAGTCCTGAAAATGGGGACCCCAAAAGGGTACCCCTAATTTTGGGAAACCCCCATATCCCTAAACCCTATACCCTAAATAGTAGTTTCCATTTATTTTCCATTATCCCAATATAACACCGACATAACCATAATAATTTTGGGAAGCCCCCACTTACACCAACAGTGCTGAAAGTTCCCAGAGCTTTGCAGGGAACAGTCCATTCTCAGACCAGGCCTCCTAAACCTACTTTAGGCTTTAGGGTTTAGGGTCTAGGGTTTAGGGTTAGGGTTTAGGGTTTAGCGTGGTTGGTACGGAATAAGGGAATAGACTCCTTATGACATAATCCCTCTTCAATATATTCCTTGATTCCTTACTACCCACCAGTAAATAAGAGGGGCTGCGAGAAACGAAGAAACCCTGCACACATCTTGAGGTGAACTTAAGTCTGTTGCAGCTAGTTCACCTTCTCATAAGCCCATCTACACCCTAAACTTGGAGACCGCCCTCGCTCATTTACAGCTGGATATGACCTATAATGTAATTACTCGTATGTATTGCCCTTAATATGACCCTCACATAGACTGTTCATGGGTGGGGGCAGGACCCAACCCGAAACCCTTAAGTCTGGCCGCAGTCTTTCCTCTTTACTATAGCCCAGCTAGAGAGTCAGTATGAAGTCGCATTTCCTACCGTGGGTGACTGCCGTGGTGGCCGGTGCTACCTTGGTTGCGAGTCAGCCTACGAGCCTGTGCGGTCATTAAAACAAATCAAGTAAATGGCCTGATTCGAGTGGGTGGGATTTGAAGTGAAACTACGGGGACTACATAGGGATACATTAAGTCCCGAATATATAGGGTTGTATAGGTTTAGGGGTTGGGGTTTCGCTAAAAACCAAATAAACAACCCAATGGAAAATGACATGGAAAGCGGGGCTACATAGGTGTTATGTAGGGCAACTTGAGTTATATAGGATGTTGGGGAACTTACATGAAACTAACTCACCATAATAAGGAGACTAAGGAGATGATGTTTACTACATATGCATACTGCGGTAGCTTGAATTTAAGTTCCTTCACATCAACCACCTTAAGCCCTAAACCCTTAGCCCTCAACCCTACACCCTCACCCTCAACCCTAAAATCTAAACCCTAAACTCTAAACCCAAAACCCCAAACTCTAAACCCTAAACCCTAAACCCAGGAGCAGGCACAAGCCTCACATCTTGTTCATCCTAGCGGATGACATGGGCTGGGCCAACATTGGCTACCATCGGATGCTAGGTGGCACTTTGGGATCCATACAGAGTTGAGGGTCTGTGGTGTAAATGGGGTTCATGCGGGACTCATTCATAAATGGTAGTTTCGAGAAATAGGGGAACCCCCATGTAGACCCCAAACTACTGTTGATACCAACAATCCGGCATGTCCCATGTATACTATATTACCATTACTCCCAAGGTTTAGGATACATAGGGTCATGCAGGATTTTTAGTATCCACCGTAGTATCATCCTCATCATGGGAACTCCCGGTCTGGTGCCCCAAATTTTAGGAAACCTCCCAAACCTAAACCTTAAACCCTAAACCAGAGTAGCACCCAGGAAGAGTTCGCAGACAGCTGATGAGAAGCAGGGACAGCTGGAGGTCCACACTCCGAGTTTTTACAACAAGTTTTTAGGGTTTAGGGTTTAGGGTTCAGGGTTTTTTAGGGTTTAGGGTTTAGGGTAATATTGGTAGTGACAGTAACAGCAGTAGTAGTAGTAATAATAATAGTAGTAGTAGTGATAATGACAATCGAGATCCCTTACCGTAAAACCCTCACCCCACTCTAAAGACTAAACTCTGCCCTAAACTCTAAACCATAAACCCTAAACCCGAGCCCCCTAAACCCTCTACACAGGTCCACACGCCCGCCATAGACGCCCTTGCAGCAGATGGCATTGTCCTTGACCGCCACTACTCCTACCGCATTTGTGGGCCTGCCAGGCCTCATCCCTTACGTATTAGGTATATATTAGGTGGAACCCCCCACCCAGTAATAGTGACTATAAGGGATAACAGGGATTATCTTAGGGTCCTCTAATATTTATGAATACCAATATTACAGGGTGGGGGGTCCTCCTAAGGTGTATATATATATATATCTAGAGGGTCTAGGGATCTTGGAAAAGAAAAGGGAAGCCACTATTTGGGATTTAGTGTTCAGGGTTTAGGGGTAGAAGCCTGACAGTTGAGAATCAGCTGGAAGGGAACATGGAACATGAAATGCAAACTGGGTATAGGCTTCATATGGGCTTTATCCGTTTTTTTTTGTTTGGGGGACCCCGAAATAGGCCCCAACTCTTATAATCTTGATTATGAGCACCCCCCAATAAAAGGCAATCCTAATCTTTAGGAAACCTTCATTTGGAGCCCTGAAGCCTCAATCCTTGACCCTAAACCCTAAACCCTGAATCCCAAACCCTATACCCTAAACCCTAAATAGAGGATTAGAGATTTAGGCCCCAGCGATGCGCAAGGGTTTTGGTACCTTTTCAGAGTTCTCTTCCCCTCGGGTTCTGGGGATTTGGGGTTTTAGGATTTAGGTTTCTAGGGGTTTGGGGTTCTGCGGTTCTTCGGGGTTTAAGGATTCTAGGATTCTAGGGTAACTTGCAGCACAACGAACCCTAAACCCTGAACCCTTAACCCTTAATCCTCGATATAACCCCAAGGAGTTTAGACTGTAAACCTAAACCTCTTCATCCATTACCGTCATTGCCGTTGATAGGTTTTGATGCTAGCCATTTCTTTTGGCATTTCCGCTCTCGCTCCGAATGGAAGCTTTATTCGCGTTACTTTTCTGATTACTTGGGCAAGTGCAATTTTTACATACCCGTTAATTTTACAAAGAGTAGGGAGTATTAGAATGAGACAGGCGTTGACTTTTTTTCGAACGCTTTTGCAGCTATGCTTTTTGGTGAAGAACGTTTCCAAATCGCTTTCAGAAAAGGCTGAACGAAACATGTCTGCCAGCCAGTCTGGAGGCAAGACAGTAGTTGGCATGGGGCTAGGGTTTAGGGTTCCGGGGTTTCTAGATTAAGTTAAGGGTCCACGCCGTGATGACTGCAGCGTTAGCAGAAAAGACAACGGCAGCAGTATAAGTCAGAGTTGTAGTAGCAAGCGGAGCTACGATATTCTCTCAGTTGCTCTCACTTTCGCTCTTAGGCACTTGTCGGGGGCCTATTTTGATTGAATGTAGACCCCTGTTATAATAACCCCCCTCCCCTTTATAGGCATTATAATAGGGATCTTAATATTTAGGCCCTTAAAAGGAGGAGTGTTTATTAATCATGGGTCTACATTATTTTGTATAGAGACATGACAGGTGACAGGTAGAACCACCGCCAGCCATGTTTAGTTGCCTTTAACACCTAGCCTAAACCGTAATCCTAGCACTTCATCAGTTTGGGGGTTTGGGGGGTCCCCCCGCCCCCCCCGCCAGAATAAGAAATGGATGGTGCCAGATTAAAAGAATGATTGGGGCTCCTGGAATTCAATTAAAATTGAATAGGAATGCATTCCTGCGTCATTGGGGCTCTTGGGCCTCTATAAGTTAAAAATGAATAGGAATGTATTTAATATTTCTATTCTCGGGATAGGTTCCCCAAAATTTTCTTTAGATCTGGTCCCTTTTCCCCATACGAAAAGCCACCTAATTGTAGCTAGTCTTTGGTGGTTGAATCCACCTGAAACAATTTCTTTAAATATGGTTCCTTTTATTGCAGTTTGCTCGGA